TTCCACCTAAAAATTGAGATACCATATAAGAAAAAAGAATACAACATACACATAGTAAATCTTAGAGTAAGCTGTCAAGAGAAAAAAAACTTAACATACAGATAATTTTGATGATTGTGAATTGGTAGTATTAATAGGTTGACTACTTGCTTGTGGGGGTTAAGGTTGATGGTGACTTAGTTTTGGAGGTAAACGTTGAGGCTGTCTTGCTTGCGGGAGTGAAGGTTGAGGCTGTCTTGCTTGCGGGAGTGAAGGTTGAGGCTGACTACTTCCCAAACTAGTAGTATCCTAAGCCATAAATTGTGACTCCCCTTCAGAAGGACAAACATGATTGAATGAGGATTTGGTTCATCCGACACGTACATGCCATCAGGTTGTATTCATAGACAGGGGGTGAAGAAGGTATCACTCACATTTAGGCCACAACTCTGAACCATTAATACCAAACACAACATTCTTATACACTTGAATGTAAGTTGCCTGACTATAACACTCATGCACATATTTTCTAGGGTCCTCATGTATGTACAATGTAGCTGAGCATGCATGCTTGTAAGGAATGCCTGTTACATACCACCTCCTGCAAGTACATGATCTCTTAAGCACATCTACTGTATGTTGATCAAATGGCCCAACAGTTTCGAAATTCCAATCATCAGCCTTCACGGGAAGAACCACACCCATGAGTCTTTGTTCTCATTTTCCTAATGGCATATGCAATTGAAAAAAATTGGTTGTTTCGATCAATCCCAACTGCTGTCCACCCTGAGGCCCTTTCAAAAAACACCCATCCACTCCTATAAACTTCCTAAGCCTAAAGCCTTTCTTGCAGGCATCAAAACATATGTTCATTATCTGGAAATTAGGTTGTGAAGATTCTAAATCACACCCAAACAACTTGAAGATAATAATACTTCTTTGATTGGGCCTTAACAATTCCAAACATTAACTCCTAATTAGGCTAATTGTTGTGTAAGGACCATTCAGTAAGCTTATCTGCTTTTCTCTTATTCCTGTAGGCTTGTTGTTTTGAAATATTGCTCATCTTATTGCATATGATTCTTACTATCACTTACTCACTCAGATCACTAACTTCATCAACATTTGAGCCATTGAATTCAGGTTCAGGATCTTTCATTTGGTTTTCGTCGGGTTCACCATCGATAAAAGAATAGTGAAGTATGAGGTCGTTAGTTGGTTTAAGATTCGAGTATGTCCCATCCACGACATCCAAATGCTCCAAAATTAGTTTTACAACATTATAAGGTACCCATATGGTACCTTAACAGAGTCAATAACTTGACTACACATTTCAAAACTATCACCAGAAATATGCCAAACCCTCACATTCTCACGATTATACATTGATCTTTACACGGTCAACATCAAATTCATGCCTTTTTAATTTCACTTCGCTTCGCTTCGCTTCGTTCTTTGTGTTAGTAAAAAAATGGCTGACAGACGGAAAGTATAGAAAATGATGGATGTGCTATAGATAGGGTATGTAAGGAAGGTGATTAAGTGAATACATAGACTATCAAAAGTGTAAAAAGGGCATATATAGGAAACCAAACTTACATTTTTCCTTTTTTTTTTTTTTTTT